GCAATAAGTTCATGATCTCAACCATATTAGTGAGGTAGGTCAAGAAGACAGTTAATTAAACCAGATTTCTTTAATGCATGTTTATGTTCTGGGGTCACCCTTGAAACAAAACAATAAATATGTAAAATATAGGTAGGTATATATTTGGATACGTTTGTAGCATACTTTTCCCCGTCGAACCGGTAATAATATATTTTGACTGGCTTGACAATGAAAATTTCAAGATCAGGAAGGCTTAAAGTCATGTGACGGTGATTATTTTGTACGATGCGCTATGTAAACTTGATGCTTGCCTTACACCAAATGATTAACCTTGTTTTGTAGTCTTCTTCTCTCGTTATCGCATTCTTTTAGTCTTAACCTTTTATTTTTTTATTGCCTTTGTCGGAAGACCAGCATACGGCCCTAATGGTGAGGGGTTACCGTCACTCATGGACGTCGAAAATCCCAGGGGCAGAGCCCAGACGCTGCCTTCCAACCTTCGATGTCTTTTGAAAATTCAAATTAAACTCATCAGAACCTGCTACTTGGAATATGAAAAGTCGTTATCCTTACCACCGCTTACAAAATAAAACCCGGTCCGCCAATAAATAGCTCGGTCGGGCTAGCCTTTTTGTTTACAACTAATGCCGATTTTTTTTCCCTACCTAAGCTGATAGCCTTGAGAGGCTATATCAGCGTAACCTTAACAAGTAGGTGAGCTCACGGAGCTCAATCCGGAGTGTTGCTAACACTTACCCTAGCAAGGGCAGTGCTTCGCAGAATCTACCACCGGATCGGAAACGCTACTCGCTGAGAAGATCCGACGAGAAACTCAGTGGGCCTAATACCGATTTTGTGTTCAGACCTTACATATGCCTGTCCATTGAAGGCAGGCGCTCTAGCAAGATAGCACTCTCTTAAGTTATTTATCTAATAATTTATGAGAAACTATGAATTGTACAAAAAAATTACGTTCTGTCGTTGTTTTATTTTTGTCGTTTAATCATTGTTTCAATATCTTGTCATGCGCAAACAACACATTTGGAAACAATGAGATTAATTTAGCCGAAGTAGCCTCGACTCTTACGGTTATTTATTTGGCCTCAACGCATACTAAGCGTGGACATAAGTTTGGCAACTTTTCTGGGCTCTCCGGAAAACATTCTGCATAAATGTTCGTATAAGACCTCGCGAACTGCCGGAAACGGAGTGGATCCTTCAACTTTTCAAACGTATTTTTGTTTTTGTATTCGTCTATTTTGCTCAAAGCGTTGATTTTCGAATTGATAGCGATCGCACGGGTAGAGAAAGCTCTCAATTTGGTACAAATCGTCAATTAAGACGAAGAGTCTACTTGCGAACTAGCTCATAGATACACCACTGAATTTGACACTGAGACACACCCACTGAGTTTCTCGCCAGATCATCTCAGTGGATCGGGATTCCGATCTGATGACAGGTTCAGACAAGCACTGACTCTCCTCCAGGCATTCGCTTCTGCTCGCTCACCTGTCCTGGTGAAACTGTAAAGGCCTCCGGGCCACCGGTAATACTTCGACTATAAAAAAAAACAAGCACTGACTGCTCTTGTTGAGGCCAATGGTTATGCAGGAAAAAAGGAGTAACAATTAGACTTCAGAAACTGAATGATATAAAATAAATATTCACATATTATTTTCTTAAATTGATATATTATTATACGTATTAATTTACACTCGAGGGAGATGCGCGCGAATACTTTGAAACAGAAATAGGTAGTGGTACCCCTTCTCGTGGACTTATTACACGCGAGAAATACAGTACAAGAATGAAGTAGCAGCAGTTAAAGGCCGAGATATATCCATGTTCTTAATGTATAGTCAAATAGACTATTTTCAGTGAAGAATCTGACCAGAAAAATGTCCATAGTGTATACAATACTATGGGTATTATTTTTATATGCTGGGTGTTAGAAGACCGCTTCCGAAAGCAAAGACAGATGATAATACTAATGATACATTTGATGATGGGATGGATAAAAAAAAACGAGCCTGATTTCAAAAAAAAACCATACTTTTAAAACGTTTTATTAGCATTCTTTACGCTCCGTCATGTTAGTACAGCCAAATGAAAGATAGTTTCATAAGAAATACATTGCTAAAAAAACCAGCAATGAAACACTAAATGAAAAACAGCTGATGCTCGGATGAAAGAATGCCCGGGCGCGGCGTTGATACCGCGCTCCTCAAAATTTACAAATTTGTAGGTACAAAATGTGCAGGCGCCATAAAAGAATTAGAGGCGGCGTTCACAATAAAAATTGCAAGTAATTTTAGGTAGCTGTGTTTTTCTTTTTCGCTAGCAATACGTTTGATACGTATTCAATCCTTAAATTAATAATTTGAAAATTATGTTCTAGGACATTATCTTCGAACTGATTCCAGGAAAAAATATCACATGACAAACATTTTTAGAAGACCCAAAAAGAGAATTAATTACCTCGCTGAAACAAGACTCTTCCCAATATTATCTTAAACAAACAGACCACTGTATGATAATCTGATATCTTCAACAAACACGACAATTATTCAAGGGTATTTTAAGCTAATTAGGTTTTCAGTAGTAATTTTACTTTCTGCGATGTCGCATGATTAATAAAATGGAAGAGGAGGAAGTTATTGAACGGGGAAAGAGAGTTGTGGTACGTAAGGGACTTAGGGAGTGACCAAATTAAAATGAACTTCGTTTTCAAGTATTATTAATTGTCTTGTATATTATGTTTATTTCAAGGAGACATGTTTTTGTAACAGAACTCTGTAGGTCGGCTTTTTGTTGATGCCAATGGACAGATAAGTTCACCTTCTATCTGCGTGGCTGTTTAGTTACCAGAGTACGCAGACATTGCCGGCGCCAACTATGATTTTGTCGAAAATCTGGTTGTAGTGTACCATGGTTATTCCACCTAACCAGTGGTGGATTTACACTAGGGGCAGTCGGGGCAAGTGCCCAGGGCGGCAAATTTTTTAGGGCGGCAAAACTTTGAAAAAAAATTTTTTTTTTAGTCTTATCTCAAGATTGCTCAATATAATTAATTAATTCTAATAATTAATAATTTTCTTTTTAATTGATAATTCAAGAAATTCAATTCATCCATCATTTGTTAATTATAATTTTGGAACTTTTGATAAAAATTAATAACCAAAATGATTAAATAAATTTATTTCCTTGGAGGTTTAAAATAATAATCGGTTTTTATATTTAAATAAATTTAATTAGTTTTTTTTTATGTATATTTTTTTATGATAATTATGTGCCACCCTTAGTCAAAATTTATAATTGTTAGAAAAAAAAAACAAATATTTATTTATATTTTTGGAATTTATAACATATTATAATAAATTTTCCGCGATAAATGACTTATTTTAATTTCGAAAAATAAAATATATAAACTATAAGTTTAAGTAAAATTGCAGTATTGGGGCGGATTTTTTTCAGGTGCCCATGAGCGGCATTAAGTTTAAATCCGGCCCTGCACCTAACTGAAACACATTATCACTACATAGTATAAAACAAAGTCGCTTTCTCTGTCCCTAAGTATGCTTAAATCTTTAAAACTACGGAACGGATTTTGATGCGGTTTTCTTTAATAGATAGAGTGATTAAAAAGGCAGGTTTATATGTATAATAACATCCATTAAATAGTGGACAAATCAATAATAAATTATAGTTTCCGAAGCGAAGCGAGGGCGGGTCGCTAGTTGCTACTAAACTGAAGTAGGTAGACTGCACCGACACGATATTTTCGGATGACTAAAATTTCACCTCTGTGCTCTATTACTTGAACAATAAGGTTTATATCCGGTCGGATACAATTAATTTTTAAATTATTCAGTAGCTCCGAACTAGATGGGGGAATATTCTAGAGAAAATACCAATGTTGTGCATTTGGAACTTGTATCGAAGCGAAAACTTCTTAGGGGCCGTTGTTATTTGAAGCCCGTTGAAACGGAGATGACATTCTAGTGACGATTGAAAGAGACAAGCATATATCGTCTTCTCGCATTAAAATTGTATAATCTCAAAACTTACTAATTTACAGAAGAGTGTTTTGAAGGTTAAACCATGTGATATTTTTAATAATAATCATATTTGCAATATTATTTTTTTCTTTTTTACCAGTTACATTTCTGTCTTTTAAAGTAAGATAAAACTATGTATTAATTTTGTTAATAGTAGTCAAAACGTAGGGAAAATAAAAAAATTAAAAATAAACTACGCTCTTTTGACAGTATTTATGAGAAAAATACTGGTGATACCAAATAATTCCGCATATTAACTGAATTTCGGATATTTTTGGATGTTGTACACTTTTAATGCGAAAAGACGATATAGGTTTTAGGTTGCGAGAGAAAGAGACAAAACTTCTAAATGTTTCACTTCTACTGCGTGTGAAATGCACTTATTGGCTTCCCAGCTCAGGTTATCTTTACTTCTATACTAATATTATAAAGAGGAAAGATTTGTTTTTTTGTATTGAATAGGCTCCGAAACTACTGAACCGATTTGAAAAATTCTTTCACTGTTTGGAAGCTACACTATTCCCGAGTGACATAAGCTATAATCTTTTTTGAAGAAAATTAGGGATCCTTACTCAAACTCTAATAATGTAACCCAAGGTGTAAAAAATTACCTAAAATATTCTTTACATCGCGTGCCCTGACTAACTATTGAACTATTATACTACTATACTAAGGCCTATGTCCAGCAGTGGGCAGATAAAGGCTGATGATGATGATGATGATGATACTGAAACTATTTATGATAGAATAAAATAATGTATTACGACTTTGTAGAACACATTATTATTTACAAAAAGTGTCGCGACAGCATATGTCTGACTACTATAGTTATGCCGAAATAAATGTTCTTTTATTTTAAAACATAAAACAACGTCACATATCGTTGAAATTTTTGTTAAAGACCTGAGCGGAGCCGGAGCTGGCTGCTAGTCAATATTAAACTGAATTATCAATTTACAGATGTATGGTCGCTATCAACGCGACCTCAGCGAAGCGGCAAGAGAAGAAGCAAGGAGACTCCGTAGACTGCGCAAGAAGAGACGCAGAGACGACAAACTCCGACAAAAGGAGCTGGAGGCTACCGGGAAACCGCGACCCAGGGGGAAGTTCTTTAAAGTTTTAGGTGAAAAAATCCTTGATTTTCGGCAGTCTTAAACATACTTATTTTTTTATTTATTGCTTAGACGGATCGACGAGCTCACAGCCCACCTGGTGCTAAGTGGTTACTAGAGTCCATAGACATCTACAACGTAAACGCGCCACTCACCTTGAGATATGAGTTCTAAGGTCTCAGTATAGTTACAACGGCTGCCCCACCCTTCAAACCGAAACGCATTACTGCTTCACCGCAGAAATAGACAGGGTGGTGGTACCCACCCGTGCGGACTCACAAGAGGTCCTATCACCAGTAATTACGCAAATTATAATTTTGCGGGTTTGATTTTTATTATACGATATTATTCCTTCACCGTGGAAGTCAATCGTGAACATTTGTTAAGTACATATTTCATTAGAAAAATTGGTACCCGCCTGCGGGATTCGAACACCGTTGCATCGCAAGATACGATTGCGCCGGACGCATTAACCTCTATCCTTTTGCATTATCCTTTAGGCCAGGACGACTTACTTGCGTAATTGCTATACAATTGAGATATAGACAATTGTGTTGTGGTATTTCCTCCGATAGTCATATAACATGAGTTAGACCGTGAGCTTGTTCATCATTCTATACAATAAAAAACATACATTCATGTCAAGAATGGTGGTAGGTCCTCTTGTGAGTCCGCACGAGTAGGTACCACCACCTCGCCTATTTCTTGCGTGAAGCAGTAATGCGTTTCGGTTTGAAGGGTGTGGCGGCCGCTGTAACTATACTGAGACCTTAGAACTTATATCTCAAGGTGGGTGGCGCATTTACGTTGTAGATGTCTATGGGCTCCAGTAACCACTTAACACCAGGTGGGCTGTTAGCTCGTCCACCCATCTAAGCAATAAAAAAATAAAAATGTTTTAATAGAAAATATTTTTTTTTCGTTGTTTTTGTTTTGTTTTTGTTTTGTTTTTGTTTCTAAAATTTTTTCGTTGTTTGTTTATAATGTTAGTTCTGTCTGCAGGCTACATATGGAGACACACGTTCGCTCGTTTAGGCGAAGACTGGATCTTTCTCGCCGTTCTCGGTATAATCACGGCTATACTTAATTTCGCCATGGACAGAGGGATCGCTATCTGCAATAATGGTGAGTTATTTAGCTTCTACAGCTAAGGGGACGGGTCAGCGTGATCGCACGACCTCGGGTGGGATTAGAGGGACCTGTGGCGAGATAAGACGGTAGACGCCTACAGAAAATCCAAATTCAATAGCTTATTTTTTCCCCCTACCTAATCGTTAGTGGCCTAAGGAACTATAAGGGTAGATAGCGGCTCTGCCCTTGGCATTGCTAAAGTCCACGGGCGACGGTAATCACTCACTATGTGGGCCCTACGCTCCTCTACCCACCCACAAGGGCAATTAAAAAATGGACTATGGAAAAAATAAGTTTTTGATTACATAGAACAAAGCAGTACTTTTAAAATAATGTAATTCGAATGACAAATTTGACCTTCTTTATTTATTATTTGAACAATGATTAAAAATGTAATGTTTATTTTTTTTTTCATCGCACCGAATGGGATTCAGAGTAAGTAAAATCAATCTAAAGATGTCGACACTCAAACAAATAATACGATTTAAATTATCTATTGATAAGTCCAAAGGGAGGCAACTAACTAATAAAGTCAAGGTTCGACCAGTTTAGGCAAATGTGTTTTATTCCCGGTCATCGATCTTGTCAAACCCGTCGCTTGCAACGAAGGGCTCGACGAGTAAATGAACCCACAGACACAGCCCACTGAGTTTCTCGCCGGATCTTCTCAGTGGGTCGGGTTTCCGATCCGGTGGTAGATTCTGCGAAGCACGGCTCTTGCTAAGGTTCGTGGTAGCAACGTCTTCAGGTTTGAACCCCGTGAGCTCACCTACTAGTTAAGGTTACGCTGAAATAGCCTCTGAAGGCTCTCAGCTTAGGTAGGAAAAAATATATTCTGAAAGCACTGTGTTATTAAAACAACTAACTTCACAGCTCGCATGTGGATGTACAATGACCTGGCAACGTCCACGTTCAGTCAGTACGTGGCTTGGGTGTCTCTGCCCGTATGCCTGATACTATTCGCTGCTGGCTTCGTGCATATTGTTGCTGCACAGAGCATAGGTAAGTGAGAACAGGACCTTTTTTTTGCCGATCTAACCATTGTATGTTTCAATTACCTAATTAATTATTAATTAATTAATTTTATGAGCTCTACGGCAATGAAGCATTTTATATGTAGAAACCCTCTTAACATAAATACATAAGTAAAGACGAATCAGTTTGTCGACTGTTTTTTTTAGCAGTTTAGTGTCATCATTGAAAAAATAGTAGTCGTAGTTTTTTTTCTTATTCGAAAAGACAAAAAGTTTAATTATCCGTCTCTCTCTCTTCTGCCTTTCGATTAATTTCAATTTAATATTAACCATAATAACCCTTGTATATATATATATATATATATATATATATATATTAATTTAATACTAGAGGTCCCGTAGTAGTCGAAATTCGACTATAATTAATTGAAGTTGTAAGTTTGTACACTATTGAGATTGTATTTTATACTTCTATAATCACAAATTTCTCCAAGACTACACTATAAAAAATATTAACAAAGACAAATAATATTTAATCTATTCTCAATTTGACAACAGACGTCAAGAACAAAAGCTTGACAATAAATATAGTATGCATGCGCGTGTGCGTCAAATACATGGTACGTAGTGTGTGTAATGTTTTCTTTATCGATTTAATGTATCTTTTATGCATTATTTTAAAAAAAATATTAGCATTGTGCACTTCTTCTCTATATTCTCTATAAGTGTGGAAAATTTCATACTCCTCCGTCCGCGCAATTTTCGTAAAAAGGGATAGGTACAAAGTTTTTGCTTCACGTATTAATATATAGATATGTATACAATGGTTAGATCGAAAAAAATTTTTATTTATTTATTAGAAACACATACGAGAATGTTCTTACATAACATTCTCGTATGTGAGAATGTTACCACTAAAGCTTATATTTGGTGTTGCATACTGCAATTTATTGTCGTTCCTAAATTATATCGAATTAAATTGCCTATTCGTACGAACTAGAGTTCGTTCTATAATTAAAAATTCTTCATTGACATTTTGAAAAAAAAACCGGACTATTCCATGACTTTTTTAATGATATTTTATTTTATTTTATTTCTTTATTCTTTATTGTACACACAGTTAATACAATACAATAATTGCGAAAAGTTATAAAATGGCGAGCTTAACTCATCTAATCGTTTTTAAAGAGGGAGAGCTCGACCAACGACCCAAAAAAATGGAAATTGATCGAAAGGCAGAGGAAAGAGATGGATAATTAAACTCTTTGTCTTTTCGAAAAAGAAAAAAAACTACGACCACTATTTTTTTATTATTACACTAAAACTGGCAAAAATAATAATTTAAATCGTTTGACAAACTGATTCATCTTTGCTTATGTATTAATGTAAAAATGGATTCTAAATATAAAATGCTTCATTGCCGTAGAGCTCATAAAAATAATTAATTAATAATTAATTAAAATATTAATTGTTAATTAATAATTAATTAATTAAAACATTCGGCGACAGGTTCAGGCATACCGGAAATGAAGACGATTCTCCGAGGTGTCCACCTAAAAGAATATTTGACCTTCAGAGCACTCATATCCAAGCTCATCGGTCTCACTGCCACATTAGGATCTGGTCTTCCACTAGGGAAAGAAGTAAGTAATAACATTTTACCACCAATATTGCAATATAATCTATACTAATATATAAATCTACAGTGGTTAAATTTTTTACGGATGTTCCGTTATAACTACTGAACCATGCATCCGATTGAATTAAAACTTGGTATCCATGTAGAAAATATATTTACTTAATGGATAGGCTAATATTTATATGAGTGTTGGACTCCCTAATAATAATGAAAATAAATAATGATAATTTTAAATGCCCAGCGAAAAGCGGGCGAGTGCGGCTAGTAGTCAATATAATTTCGTTCATTAATTGTAAATGATCTACTATATTATAGTACTTAGAAATCGTCAACGTCCAAGTTAATAATGAAGAATAATTTAAAATGAGATACTAATTAACATCCCACTGGAGCTTAAATTCACCACTTTAGAATAGCAATAGCGTAATCAAAGGATAAATTGACAACTTTGAAAAATTCCCAAAGCTATAGTACTCAACTGCTTGCAACAGTTTATTTGATTAGCCAAACTTAAGGAACCTTCCATTTTTTAACCATTCTAATTAAAGCAAAGGCATTTTTATTCGTGCTACATTATGACGTGCGGTGTTAAAAATGTCGCAACAGTCGCATTTTTCTGCTACAAAACAGAAATGTTTTAGTTGAATTTCAATTTTTCCATAATTTTTATTTTTTTATTTTTTTATTATTATTAAATTTTCATCGGTCCTTAATAAGTATACCAAATTTCGAGTTAATCCGAAGTTTTGAAGGTGGTCAAAAATCACGTTCCAAGATTCCGTTACATACTAACATACATACGTCTGAAGCTAATAAAAGCGTTTTAATAAAATAGCGATAATTCCAAAGTGGGTTTGTTGCTCATCGATCTAATAATTCTTAGGGACCGTCAGTTCACATAGCTTCAATGGTGGCCACACTGCTCTCCAAGCTGGTGACCACCTTCCAAGGGATCTACAGTAACGAGTCTCGGAACAGCGAGATGTTGGCCGCAGCTTGTGCTGTCGGCGTGGCCTCATGCTTTGCTGCACCTGTTGGCGGTAAGATTGGCTTTCTATAACTTTTGTTGGCCCAAATTTTTTTATTGTTTAGATGGGGACGAGTTCACAGTCCACCTGGTCGTTAAGTCGTTACTGGAGCCCATAGACATCTACAACGTAAATGCGCCACCCACCTTGAGATATAAGTTCTAAGGTCTCAAGTATAGTTACAACGGCTGCCCCACCCTTCAAACCGAAACGCATTACTTCATGGCAGATATAGGCAGGGTGGTGGTACCTACCTGTGCGGACTCATAAGAGGTACTATCACCAGTAATTACGTAAATTATAAGTCGGTCCGGGTACCAACTGGCGCCGGTTGTTAATCGGATCGTCCATCGTCCTCACATCAATATTAGAACTCATTCATACGCAAAGGTTTTCTTGGGAAAATTACTAGTGGTGAGTTCCCGCGTCTTTCCACAGCAGAATTTCAGAGGCGATTTAGTTCCTCTGGGCTACTGAAGCCCTAGTTCGGGTTAGTTGACCGCCGCCCGTAGTTCGGCGTTATATTTGTTACGACTAGGTAGGTGGCATACCGACGCCAACCCTCCTCTTTTCTCATCCGGGCTTTTGAGATCGGCAAGGGCAGAGTTAAATAAATACTAACAGTAATTTAATTGTAAACCTAAATACAGTTTTGCTACAAACTGATTTGGCGTTATTGGTGTTGCGAAAAGCCTCGATAAGTTCCATATCTTTGTGTTTTTTGCCAGGCGTGCTCTTCTCCATAGAAGTCACGACGACGTACTTCGCTGTGAGGAACTATTGGAGGGGATTCTTTGCGGCCTGCTGCGGGGCTATCGTAAGTAACAATTCACCAGACCGGTACCAACGGTCGGTTAATGATTGCGACTATTCAAATTTGATTGGCCAGTATTAATGTAAAATAGGGATCGCAGCGCATAAAATAAAACTTCCACTGTTCCAGAATCTTCTATTATAATAATCACTACATAGTATAAAACAAAGTCGCTTTCTCTGTCCCTATATCTGTCTGTCCCTATGTATGCTTAAATCTTTAAAACTACGCAACGGATTTTGACGCGGTTTTTTTAATAGATAGAGTGATTGAAGAGGAAGGTTTATATGTATTATAAAATCCATTAAATAGTGGAGAAATCAATAATAAATTACAGTTTCCGAAGCGAAGCGAGGGCGGGTCGATAGTAATTAATAATGAACACTTTTATTATGTCTTGCTCATTTTTCAACCGTCTTCGCCATCTTCCAATACTCTGTCATTCTATCTGTCATTCTCATCTCCCTTTCTTTCCGTTTTCTCACACTCACATCTTAACGCTCCGTTCCACACTCTTTTCATACGTTCCGTTCTTAATAATACTACATTAATTATCTTAATGGAAGCCATCATTTTTCTCTTTCCAACAAAGCGAGTGGTGGCGAAGAACAGTTGTGATTCTATGTTAGCTTGTCCGCGAGCTTCTAATTTAAACTTTCTATAAACGGTTTGAAGGAGAGTCCTTATTCCTTCCTCGAACTGAACTGGATTTTTTTTATTGCTTAGATGGGTGGACGAGCTCACAGCCCACCTGGTGCTAAGTGGTTACTGGAACCCATAGATATCTACAATGTAAATGCGCCACACACCTTGAGATATAAGTTCTAAGGTCCCAGTATAGTTAGAACGGCTGCCCCACCCTTCAAACCGAAACGCGTTATTGCTTCACGGCAGAAATAGGCAGGGCGTTGGCACCCACCTGCGCGGACTCACAAGAGGTCCTACCACCAGTAATTACGCAAATTATAATTTTTGCGGATTTCATTCTTATTACACAATGTTATTCCTTCACCATGGAAATCAATCGTGAACATTTGTTGAGTACGTATTTCATTAGAAAAATTGGTACCCACCTGCGAGATTCGAGCACCGGTGCATCGCTCGACACGAATGCCCCGGACGTCTTATCCCTTAGGCCACGACGACTTCATTATCATTAGTAAATTAAGGAAATACAATCCTAATTTTAAATTATTCGTAGATGTTCAGGCTTCTGTCGGTTTGGTCTGGCGCTATGCCGACTATCAAACCCCTGTTCCCAACGAATCTGCCTCAGGACTTTCCTTTCGACCCTCAGGAGTTTGCCGTCTTCGTTCTGCTTGGGTAAGTTGCTGGAAGATCTTCTTTGTCCACTTTAGTGCTATAACCACTTACAATTTAGTTTGAAATCAAAACAATAATGTAATGTTACAATAGATTAACGTATGCCAAAGATATGTTAGAGGTACAAATAAATTAAAAGTGGAAAACAAAAGTAACTACTAAAGACAGCAAAATAAAGAAAATTATCAAAATACTCTTAAACTAAACTAAAGCGAAACAATAAAATAATTTATATCGATTTGGCAATTATGGTAGAACCAGTACAAAAATTAAATAATACCCTATCACAACAATACCAATTATAATTATCTTGGTCCGAACCGGCGGTTCTTAAATAAACTACTCTACTACTAAAAAAAAAGAATTTTACAGATTATTTTTCTTTTTTCAGTTTTTATGATTAGGAATGAATAAATTAAGGTTTTTGAAAGTGTGTGAACATTAACAAGAGTAAGTTTTGCCAATTTTATGGAATTTAGTCAAAATTTACAGTAGGAAAGTTGACAGAAATTATTGATTTAAGTAAAGTTTGATTTTGATTTTTATTATTGACTAAATCAATGATTTTGATGGTGCTTAATAGCGAGTAGGTCTTCCTCTGTTCCGTATGCACTCGCTGAATCCATCTGGAACACTTTCAATCAAGTGGGTGATGTTTTCCTTGGGTATTCGCTCCCAACACAATTTTAGGGCGTTTATGAGCTCTTGTCGATTAGTCACATTACTCGATTTGAGGTTTCTTTTCAATTGGTCCCGTAAATGTTCAATGGGGTTAAGATCGGGACTCATGGCCGGCCATTCTGCTGCGAAGCTGATAATCCTTTTGTTCGTTTTCCAATTTTCTCGAACCGATATGTTACCTCTGCAATAATGCAATGCAATGTGTATAAATAAGTACCATTTTTGACAGTGTGGTGTGCGGTCTCTTAGCCTCTTTATGGATCTGGTTGCATCGGCAGTACGTTTTGTTTATGCGAAACACAAAAACCTTAAGCAACTTCTTGCAGAAGAAGTAAGTACCTAATCATATAATAAGATCCTAGGGGTCGAAGTGCCGGGCGGCTGTTCGCTTGACCTCCAGTGCGTAATCGAGACATTTTGGCGAGAAAGTCTGGAGCTAAATTGTGTGAAGTGTTTTAGTTTTGTTAATTTAGTGTACTTTCAGGTTTAAACGTGTAATAATAGTAGCTTATTATGAAAGTGCACAAGTTCTTCCAAAAAGTCCACTGAAGTTTCAGTAAATACCGCCATTGCACTGAGAATTTTTCTTTCATTCCATCTAATTTGATCTCCATTTAATTTTAGTCCTAATTGATGTCAGTCTCAAATAAATTAACTTCAATACAATTCTCTCCGTTGGAATATTGATATAACACCATAATATGTATGTATCTAACAATTGAAGATTAAATTATCTTCAATTGTTTACAAACTCGACATTGTCAATGGCTTTGCCGATTTCCATACGGTGAAAAGGAGAAAAAAGTCCATAACCGATTAATACAAAATTAAGGTTTTCTATGTGTCTTCGTGTATACAACTTAAGACATAGACTACACTTATATGGTATAGGCAAAAGGTTGAGGGAATTTTTGTTACTAAAGTCTTATTTATGGGCTTTAATAACAAAATTGTAAAAATAGGAGCATCACCTAAAGACAAGATTTAGAAGTCCATTATACTGTGTAATTACCGTACGGTATACGGTAGGCAGCGGCTTGGCTCTGCCCCTGGCATTGCTGAAGTCCATGGGCGACGATAACCACTCACCATCAGGTGGACCGTATGCTCGGCTGCCTACAAGGGCAATAAAAAAAAACATCACTTAAAACCGAACTCATAACGGCAGAATGGCGGTAACTTACCCGTGCTGACACATCCAGTAAGAACTTCAACTTAATTCCAGCCGTTTCATATATCCCGGCTTCATAACTCTGGCCGTGATGTCGATACTGTTCCCGCCAGGCATCGGGAAGTACATGGCAGCAGATCTAGGGAATCAGGAACAGGTATTATGGCGCTTCTTAATAAACGACCAGAAGACATATGAGAGGTATATTTAGGTCAATAATTCTCGCATTCTGGTGTCTAGATCATGACTATACCCAGACCTATTAGGAAATGTTAATATTAATAGGAAAATATCAAAGTTTTATTAAAGTTGGCCTGCACACGCAGTTTCTGACCGTCATAGCTTAGCAACACTCACCACCTTGCTCAGAATGTATCGCATGCAAATGCACATTAAAAGGAATCAGCAAGGAAGTAAAGGTTTGCTTTTTCCTAATATAACATTGTGTTCATTACAACGAATTTGGAATTTATTCTATATCGGCACTTAAAATGATGATAGTTAGTAGAAGCAAGTCTGTAGTACTGAGCACTAGTCAAAGATCTGTTTATGGTGACTATGTGAAGCACGATTACGAACCAACGCTATATAGATTTTCATTAATTCGAAGCGTAGTCCAAAATGTTTCGACTGACTAACATCGAAGAGTAAAATAATAATAATTTTGTTATAAAATGTGTGCTATTCATAAAATACTCAAATGGTACAAGTCACCAAACGGGCCTTAGGATCATAATTTCTGGTATTGCAAATGAAATACGTTAATAGATCTTGTGCCAAACTCTTCTAAATTTTCCAGGTGCTGTCCCTTTTCGCGAACTTCACTTGGTCCGATGAGTTGACCGCGGAACAAGCCTCAATAGTGTCTCATTGGAGGACACCCGAAGTTGAATATTGGGGGTGCCTCATCATCTTCTTCTTTTCTATTGTGAGTTTTTTTGTTGTTTTGCTGGTGAAGAGATAAAAGCATCGTACTGGTTAATGGCGTTGGCGAGGCTTTCAATAGGGCGTCACGTTTTATAGCCCAGGTGTAGACGAGACAAACGTCTGGACTTAGAGTGGTCGATATCTCTATTTCATTGTAAATTAAGTGAAGCTATAAAATAGGCTAGTATTTAAGGTCCAGTTAGTGCTTTTTCGAATGAACTATTAAGGAATCGGATGCAATAACAATAATTGATCTATTCATTATTAAACTTAACGCATTAAAATTAGTAGGCTTATAAAAAACCATATCGGTCATTAGGGTTTTTCCTTCTAATTTGGTCAATTGATAAGTAATCAAGGAAACACTTTTTTTTTTTAATCACGCTCTTTGCACCAATTTGTAACCATATTTGTGCATTTCTTTGCATCTGTTTTTTGATTCTCCCTCCATAACATTTGTCCTATTTATTATATATTTCAATGCTTAGTCTCTCTTTGCTAGTAAAAAAATATATTTCTACATATTTATGTTTTGTTTTGCTAATAATATTCAAGTTAAAATATATCATAATTGCAGTTGGGTAAATAAACTTTCTTTTTAGTTGAAAAAATAGGTAATATTTGAATGATGTTACAACAAGACGAGGTGGCCGAGTGGTTAAGGCGTTGGACTGCTAATCCAATGTGCTCTGCACGCGTGGGTTCGAATCCCATCCTCGTCGGATGTTTTTGTTTGTTGAAATACAATTAACCACCTTAATTAACAATTATAGGTATTATTAATTAAAAAAAATAACTGTAGTTGTTATAGTACAAAATAAATAATGAAAATAAATGAAATGAAAATAATGAAAATGAAGTGGCTTATTTTTTTGTTATGATTATACGCCGTGAAATGATAATTAACAAAACCCTAGATTGTGCCGTTATATTGTGAACTCAGATATTAAGAAACCGATTTCTGCTGCAGCAAATATATCCTTGACACGTGCGCATACGGTTCATCATGTGTTGGCATCGCACCACTTTTATTGTATACCGTATATATCATATACGATTTTTTTTTATTGCTAGTACGGGTGGACGAGCTCACAGCCCACCTGGTGTTAAGTGGTTACTGGAGCCCATACACATCTACGACGTAAATGCGCCACCCACCTTGAGATATCGTCTTTTCGCATTACGAAGTGTACAATTTCCAAAAATATTCGAAATTGAGTTCATATGCCAAATCATTTGGTATCCACCAGTATTTTTCTCATAAATACTGTCAAAAGAGCGTAGTTTCGTTTTTTTTTTTGTTTTTGTTTCCTTATATTTTGACTACTATTAACAAAATTCATACATTATTTTATCTTACTTTAAAAGACAGATAATGTAACTGGTAAAAAATAAAAAAGTTAATGTTGCAAAGATGATTAATATACAAAATATCACATTAAACCTTTAAAGAATTCTCCTGTAAAATTAGTATTCGTTAATTTCCAGTTCTTCCTGAGTATGGTCTCTTGCACTCTCCCAGTTCCGGCGGGCATTTTCGTGCCGGCTTTCAAAATGGGAGCTTCGTTGGGACGGTTCACGGGCGAAGTTATGCACTACTTCTGTCCGCTCGGCGTGGCTTATGGAGGACACATCCAGAAGATTCTACCCGGTACATAAATACAAATAACCTTATTAATATACTTTCATGGTTTCCTGGTAAACCGGCTGGTAGGTCTTAGGCTTGAACGATTATAGGTATTAGCAGTACGTTCAGAAATTCAAATCTGATTAGTGGCTTATGACGTCATGATTGAAGGGGAAGTCCTCGTCATTCGCAATGAAAGCAAAGTTGAAATAAAAAAAATTACGATTTTGAATTTACCACCACCACCGACCGTAAGATACGAGGTCGAATCCTTCGATTGAAGCGTGGATCCTTCAGTGTGGAAGCCATTCGTGAATATGATTTTTTTTTATTGCTTAAATGTGTGGACGAGCTCACAGCCCACCTGGTGTTAAGTGGTTACTGGAGCCCATAGACATTTACAACATAGACGCGCCACCCACCTTGAGATACAAGTTCTAAGGTCTCATGTATAGTTACAACGGCTGCCCCACCCTTCAAACCGAAACGCATTACTGCTTCACGGCGGAAATAGGCAGGGTGGTGGTACCCACCCGTGCGGACTCACAAGAGGTCCTACCACCAGTAATTACGCAAATTATAATTTTGCGGGGTTGATCTTTATTACACAATGTTGTTCCTTCACGGTGGAAGTGAATCGTGAACATTGATTTGAGACATAATGAGGCATACTCGACGTCTTGTCTTTTGGGCCGCGATGACGTCACATGTGAAGGCGCGGGCTTTTATTATAATTTTTAAACCGATCAGGAGGGTACGCGGTCGTCGGAGCCGCGGCCTTCACAGGCGCCGTCACGCACACCGTCTCCACCATTGTCATCGTCAGCGAAATGACCGGACAGGTAAGTGTTTCGTTGTCGTAAGCAAACCAGACAGAGCTAGGGTTGCCAATTCAGCTGTTCTCTCAGGACTCATCCAGGGTTGTCACCGTTAACTCCCGATCCTGCGAACCGAATTGTCAACAGTCGACGTCGCCCAAAACACGTCCGGTCATCGTTATGGTTGTGTCGTGGCCGCTGGAAATTACATACCCGATCCTGTAGACCGAATGGTAAACAGTCGACGTCGCCCAAAACACGTCATTACGGATCCTCCCGATCCATTTACGGTGCTTTTAGGTACCACAATCACCGGTCACCGTCATCGTTGAACCCGTCGCTTGCAATGACGGTCTCGGCGAGTAAATTAACCCACAGACAAAGTCCACTGAGTTTCTCGCCGGATCTTCTCAGTGGGGCGCATTTCCGATCCGGTGGTAGATTCTGCGAAGCACTGCTCTTGCTAGGGCCAGTGCTAGCATCACTCCGGTTTGAGCCCCGTGAGCTCACCTACTAATTCGGTAAATAGAATAACCCCTCGAGGTTACTAGAATAGGTAGGGAAAAAAAACCGCTAAGTAGTCACTTGGACTTTATATAACTTGATTTTTTATCACATATTTGTCTAGTTCGTTTACTTTTAATGCTTATATAGATGAACAAGCTCTTAGTCCACTTTGTACTATGTGGTTACCGGAATCCACAGACATTAAATTTAAGAGGTCGAATCCTCAACTCTATAGTGTAACGCATTGTCTCATCCTACAAACTGGAGTGCATGACTGCTTCGCGCTAGAAAAAAGTCCGACAGTAATACCAATCCAGGTGGGCCTATAATACTTACTCAATGCTAACATAGTTATATTTAATGAATACCATTTGTTCTGTGACAAATAGTAACAAGACGTTTTGAAATTATCAATCAGAAACATTCACGTCAAATCAAACACGCAGTCACAACGCGTGACGTCATATGTGGCTAAATGCTTTCATATTAAGCCTATCGTATTTTAGCCCCAAATGACGTCACATGTAAGGTGCGCCTAGCGAAGTATGGTAAAATTTACTACGATTTTGAATTTTAACGTCATGTTGGGTACGAATTTCAAGGTAACTCATCTCCTCGGCATAATGGCGGCGGTTTTGGCGGCAAATGCAGTGGCGGCTCTGCTCGGACCTTCCTGCTTCGACAGTATCATTCTCATCAAGAAGCTACCCTACCTACCCGACCTGCTTTCCTCTGCTAGTCGTGAGTATAGTTTTCCTTGTAGCCTAAGGGGTTATTCCAGCTACGCCTAGACGACTAGGTGAGCTCACGGGCTCAACCTGAGAGAATTTGCTAACACTGGCCCTAGCAAGAGCAGTGCTTCGCAGAATCTACCACCGGATCGAAAACGCGAGCCATTGAGAAGACCCGGTCAGAAACCCTGGCTTAAAACTTTTTTTTTATTGCTTTTATGGATGGACGAGGTCACAGCCCATCTGGTGTTAAGTGGTTACTGGAGCCCATAGACATCTACAACGTAAATGCGCCGCCCACGTTTGAGATATAAGTTCTAATATCTCAGTATAGCTACAACGGCTGCCCCACCCTTCGAACCGAAACGCATTACTACTTCACGGCGGAACTAGGCGGGGCGGTGGTACCTACCCGCGCGGACTCACAAGAGGTCCTACCACCAGTGATAAAGTACAGTATACTAGTTACAAATACCTTAAAATAATCTGCATCAGCAACCCTTGAAACCACCGCAGTCCATCTTGAGATATTAGGTCGACCTCTCGAATAGTATAGTCTGTTTCAACCTTCTAACCTAATTGCTTTATGGCAAAATAGAATCCGACCTCATGTCTCAAGTGGGCCGAGTTCACGTGTGCCCCGCTAACCATTTATCACGACGTGGTATGTGAACGTATACTTGCCAACTATAATTTGCATATATATCTTTAAATATTAACACATGTGCATATTATTTATTTAATGCACATAAATAATTATTAATATGAATTCATAAATAAAATGTCGTTGTTATCGTCTGTTTCGCTGCTTACAGACAAGACGAGGTGGCCGAGTGGTTAAGGCGTTGGACTGCTAATCCAATGTGCTCTGCACGCGTGGGTTCGAATCCCATCCTCGTCGAATGTTTTTGCAAAAAAAGTAATATTTTAGGAGTCATGAAAATATGTGAAAGCCTGGTACCAGAGGGCGCTGTGTGGGCGCACGCGTCTGTACCACTTTCCTGACTATTTCTGCCACGAAGCAATCAGGAATAGCTGTTTGGACTATAGGAAAAACAAAACCCTTTTATAAGAGTTACAGCCTTTATTGGAGTTCATTTTCTCCCAATGTTTCAGAGGTATTTGAGCCTTCTAGAAATTAGTTCTTAGAGTTTCCATTTCCTTCTGTCTCTTGCGTTCCTCCAGTTAAGACCTGCAGTTGACTCTAGTTTTTTGACTTTGTCGTTACGTCCCTGGCATCTTCCTTTGACATCACCAGTGCCATTAGGTGGGGTCTTGCATAGAGAGGTGTATGCTAGCCACACCCAATCAAGAATGGGTTAATTTTATCTACACCAAAAAAAAAAAAATAGGCTAACGATTTAATTAAACATGTGTGTCTAGTTAATTCTTTGGCAGGCTAAATCCACTGTCACATAATTACGTAACTTTTTCATGAACTGCATATTAAACAATATTTTTCATTTTATGTAATGTAAGCAAGAATGAACTAATACGAATTTTTAATTAAACCAAAAACATCCGACGAGGATGGGATTCGAACCCACGCGTGCAGAGCACATTGGATTAGCAGTCCAACGCCTTAACCACTCGGCCACCTCGTCTTGTACGGGAAACGTGCTAATAATGCACCCATTTAAATTAACATCTTTTCCAACACAACTGTTCAAATAAAACTAATGAAAATTATGCGAACTATTCAAGCAATTGATCTAATATGATAGGTCACAACATGAACCTTGGTACCGACCGATTTTGTCTTCCCTACCTATACGCTGGTAGCTAAGGGGCTATTCCAGCTTCGCCCGGACTAGTAGATGAGCTCACGGGCTCAACCTCAGAGAATTACTGGTGGTAGGACCTCTTGTGAGTCCACACGGATCCATCAGATCCAATAACCTTTGCACTAGACGCCTTCAGCTGTAACACTAGGAGCAGGCTTACTCGTCGTCGGCAGGCTCGTCGAACTCGACAAAGAGTTGGACGTGCAACCTAAACCATGAATCAGCTCGCTGAGTTTCTCGTCGGATCTTCTCAGCGGGTCGCGATTCCGATCCGGTAGTAGATTCATTCGCGAAGCAGTTGCTCTTGAGCTGTTAGATCTCCTTCGGAGGCGCTCGGGCAGCTGTTAACAAATCCCACCCCTTCTGGCTAAGCCTTTGCTCGCCCACCTGTCCTGGTGAAACTGGAATGGCCTCCGGGCCACCAGTAATCCTTCAATCATTAAAAAAAAAGTCCGCACGGGTCCGCACCACCGCCCTGCCTATTTCTGCCGTGAAGCAGTAATGCCTTTCGGTTTGAAGGGTGGGGCAGCCGTTGTAACTATAGATACCTTAGAACTTATATCTCAAGGTGGCTGGCGCATTTACGTTGTAGATGTTCACGGGGTCCAGTAACCACTTAACACCAGGTGGGCTGCGAGCTCGTCCACCCATCTAAGCAATAAAAAAAGTGCTAGCCCTAGCAAGAGCACAGCTTCACAGAATCTACCACCTAAACGATTTAAAGTTTCACTTCAAGAGGCCATACGTTGAAAATGTCATACAAATTCGGGTTTTTAAGTACCCGGTACTATTATAATAAATAAAAATAAACTCATTGAGCGAAGCATCGACACTAGTGCTGTTTGTTTTTTCAATGAGTTCGTATGTAATAAACGCGCAATGTAATGTTCGCGGGACCAGACTATTAGGGGGTACTACCCTGCGTGCGCGTATTTTAATTTGCATTACGTTGAGTGCCAAAGCAACAATGTTATTACATGAGTTTTTTTTTATGTTATCAGCTGTAATATACTATTTAAACCAAAAGACATCACAACCCATTCTCACGGATCCTTTGGAACCTCTGGGTCTGCGGAGGGATTTTGGTTCCCTCTGTATTTTGTACTGTATGTTCTATGGGGAGTGCTCTGAGGAAATATTCGAGATGATACCATCATCTCGTTTTTACCATCGCACCGCCCGCCACCGGAGTAGAGCTCATCCATACTACCTGGAGCCACTGCGGTCATCCACAGTGCGTTTCCAGAGGACTTTTTAGCCACGTACCATCGGGGTATGGAATGAACTCCCCTCCTCGGTGTTTCCCGAGCGCTATGACATGTCCTTCTTCAAACGAGGCTTGTGGAGAGTATTAAGCGGTAGGCAACGACTTGGCTCTGCCTCTGGCATTGCTGAAGTCCATGGGCGACGGTAACCACTCACCATCAGGTGGGCCGTATGCTCGTCTGCGTTCAAGGGCAATAAAAAGTACTAAAAAACTTGAGATCACCTCTTTTTAGTGTCGCTTAGGTGTGCCGTTTATGTTTCTCAACGGCGCTAAAGATGTTTTCTTTTTCTGTATTATCAATTGATTTATTTACACGTGTATTTCTCGTTGTAGGTATGTACGACATTTGCGTGGAGGACTTCATGGTGCGTGAGGTCAAGTACATATGGAACAGAATGACCTTCCAACAACTGAAGGATCTCTTGAAAGAGAACAAGGTTCATGCTTAGTAGATCATTTAATATCTTTTTTACTGTTGGTAGGACCTCTTGTGAGTCCGCGCGGGTAGGTACCACCGCCCTGCCTATTTCTGCCGCGAAGCATTAATGCGTTTCGGTTTGAAGGGTGGGGCAGCCTTTGTAACTATACTGACATCTTAGAATTTATATCTCAAGGTGGGTGGCGCATTTACTTTGTAGATGTCTACGGGTTCCGGTAACCACTTAACACCAGGTGTGCTGTGAGCTCGTCCGCCCAAGCAATAAAAAAAATGTTTGTTATGATGAATGACGTTGTGGAAAGTCATACGACGAAAGGAAGTTCTTCCACCGAGCGGGTGATATTGCTCGGTAGACCGATGGTCCGAATGTCCGGAACTTGTGTATATATGATTATTTTGCTTAGATTTGTGGACGAGCTCACGGCCAACCTGGTGTTAAGTGGTTATCGGACCCCATAGACACCTACAACGTAACGACCTCCCCCCCATCAGTCATGATTTCAGATAATGCATTATTAGTTTGTCAAGACCAAATGTGATGAAAAATTTTTTTTTAACGTCGCCCCAGTGCCTTCGTCCTTGTCTTTGATCTCATACTTTACTCTGGAGCTTTTGCACCAAAATGTGTTTCTTACTATTAGAGTATTGTGAGTTCGCACGAATAGTCATAGACGTCATCTAGCGGTAGCCAGCGGCTTGGCTCTGCCCTTGGCATTGCTGTAGTCCATGGGCGACGGTAACCACTCACCATCAGGTGGGCCGTATGCTCGTCTGCCTACAAAGGCAATAAAAAAAAAAAACACGTTATTATTATTAGGTTTGAGTTGTTAGACAGCCGTGTGCTTAATTGGTACTTCGATCTGTTGTCTCAAGGCGGCGAGGTACACTCTTCACAATTTGAGCTCCTCTTCCGTCTCTTTCGCGGCGTAACACCGTAACGTAAGGGGCCATCCATAAAGTACGTCACACGAATTTTAGGACTTTTGAACCCCTCCCCCCCCTCCTTGTCACAGGTTGTCACATTTTTATAACCCCCCCCTCCTGATGTGATGTCACACATTTTTTAAATTTATGTATGTATTTAAAAATAATCGAGAGAAAACAGCTATTTTCATTTTTTACTTATTTTTATTAAATAATAATCTAATAAAATCAACATAAAGTCCAACATTTCATAAAACCGAAAAAACAATATAGATCAAGTTTGTAAATTTTTAAATTTTTTTATTCACATACAAACTTTGCCTTTTAGTATTTTAAATTTTAACATGTGACGTCACAAAAGTATTGACCCCCCCATGCCCCTTGTCACACGATGTCACACTTCGGTGATACCCTCCCTCCCCATTAACGTGTGACGTACTTTATGGATGGCCCCTAACGCGTGACACTAGACACGGCACAGATAATAAAATTGGTTCTAAACTTGGACAAGTCAATTTATCATATTAGACTCAATAATGTTACTAGTGTCCGTTAGGATTAAGTGGGCACTGAACTCTGTGACGAGATGTGATCGGATCATGGTGATTTTAAATGTATTTAAGACGTTTCCTTCCGTTGTAAGAAGAGAAAAGCTTTAAGACTTCAGAATCATTACTTGCTGTTCGGCTTTGCAGGCTATAAAGAGTTTCCCGCTGGTGGACAGCCCGGCGTCGATGGTGCTGCTGGGGTCCATCCACCGCTGGGAGCTGGTGCGCGTCATCGAGCGGCAGGTGGGGCGCTCGCGGCGGCTGCAGGTGGCCGCGCAGTGGCACCGCCGCGCGCTGCAGGACGAGGCCCGCGCCCGCACCAGGAGACCCTCCAGATTCGAGGTCACTCAGCGCTCCACTCACCTCCCTCATTCATGCTATACAAAACTGAACCCGCACCAGGAGACCCTCCAGATTCGAGGTCTCTCAGCGCTCCACATATCACTCAGTTTCCTCATTCATGCTATACAAAACTGAACCCGCACCAGGAGACCCTCCAGATTCGAGGTCTCTCAGCGCTCCACATATCACTCAGTTTCCTCATTCATGCTATACAAAACTGAACCCGCACCNAGGACGTAGGTCTTTGATCAAGTCTTTAACTTCCATCGGGGTGACGGGTGGTAACGCATCCGAGGGTGGCAAGGAGGCTCTGCGTTCTACCTCACTGTCTACTAATTCTACATGAACAGGGTCTACGGATTGAGTGCTGGGCGTGCACTGGGTTTGCAATGTATCGGCCAGTAGCTCTGCTTTTTCGTCATCATCGAACGCCACGAGTCGGCCTGAGGGGCCTACGAGGGGGGGCATAGTTACTACCGTATCCGATTTGAGAGTACGAGCTAAGCTGTAGTAAGACCTTTGGGAGGGCGCGAGTCCTTCTAAGAAATCAGACCATCTGGCATCTCGGACTTCGGCGATGCGAGACTTTACGTCGCGTTGTAGGGCACGCATTCGAATACGATTATCCACGGTAGGATACCTATCGTAGGCGCGGATCGACGCGTTCTTAGCTCTAAGGAGTTCCCTAATATCGTCGGGCAATTTGAAGCGGTGAAGAAAGTCCTCCGCTACAACTTGTAAAAAAAAAATGTAATGGTATAAAATGTATATAATGATAGTTAAGTGTTAGATTTTTTAAGTTACTAACATAGATTATAAGTAATTACTACTGACAAAATGTTACGGTTTAATAAAAAAAACTGAAATAAAGTATTAATAATAATAATAAAATTAACAAATTGTATCATATCCTCTTCATCCACTCGCGTCTTCAAATATGATTCTCTTGGATCCAGTGATTCATAAACAAGATCCTTTTGTACGTTTTCCAATTCTCTCGAACCGATATGTTACCCGTGCACATGTAAATAAGTACCATTTTTGACAGTGTGGTGTGCGGTCTCTTAGCCTCGTTATGGATCTGGTTGCATCGGCAGTACGTTTTGTTTATGCGGAACACAAAAACCTTAAGCAACTTCTTGCAGAAGAAGTAAGTACCTAATGATATAATAAGATCCTAGGGGTCGAAGTGTCGGGCGGCTGTTCGCTTGACCTCCAGTGCGTAACCAAGACATTTTGGCGAGAAAGTGTGGAGCTAAATTCTGTGAAGTGTTTTAGTTTTGTTAATTTAACGGCCGTCTGGTGTAGTGGTAAGTGACATGGTCACTACACAAGGGGGTCGCGGGTTCGAATCCCGCCAAGGGAAGATATTTGTGTGATAAATATAAATGTGTTTTCCAGGGTTATGGATGTATATTAAATATATGTATGTGTATAATAAAAAATCTTACATTTATATCCGTTATCTGGTACCTGTAACACAAGTTCTCTACGAACTCATCACGGGACCAGTTAACGTGGCGTGATTGTTAGTAAATATTTATTTATTATTTATTTATTTATTTAGTGTACCTTCAGGTTTAAACATGTAATAATAGAAGCTTATTATGAAAGTGCACAAGTTCTTCCAAAAAATCCACTGTAGTTTCAGTAAATACCGCCATTGATTGCACTGAGAATTTTTCTTTCCTCCCATCTAATCTCGTTAGATTTAATTTTAGTCCTAATTGATGACAGTCTCAATAAATTAACTTCAACACAATTCGCTCCGTAGGAATTTTGATATAACACCATAATATTTATGTATCTAACAATTGAAGATAATTTATTACAAACTCGACAATGTCAATAACGGTTTTGCCGATTGCCATACGGTAAGAAAAAGAAAGAAGTTCATACCCGATTAATATAAAATTAAGGTTTTCTATGTGTCTTCGTGTATACAACTTAAGAGATAGATTACATTTCTATGGTATAGTCAAAGAATTGGGAGAATTTTTGTTACCAACGTCTTATGGGCTTTAATAACAAAATTGTAAAAAATAATGGCACCACTTTGAGACAAAAGTTTGAAGTGCATTATATGATGTAATTACCGTACACATAATTTAAAACCGAACTCATAACGGCAGAATGGCGGTAACTTACCCGTGCTGACCCATCTAGTAAGAACTTTAACTTGATTCCAGCCGTTTCATATATCCCGGCTTCATAACTCTGGCCGTGATGTCGATACTGTTCCCGCCAGGCATCGGGAAGTACATGGCAGCAGATCTAGGGAATCAGGAACAGGTATTATGGCGCTTTTTGATAAACGACCAGAAGACTTATGAGAGGTCTATTTAGTTCAATAATTCTCGCATTCTGGTGTCTAGATCATGACTATACCCAGACCTATTAGGAAATGTTAATATTAATAAGAAAATATCAAAGTTTTATTAGAGTTGGCCTGCACACGCAGTTTCTGACCGTCATAGCTTAGCAACACTCACCACCTTGCTCAGAATGTATCGCGTGCAAATGCACACTAAAAGGAATCGGCAAGGAAGTAAAGGTTTGCTTTTTCCTAATATAACATTGTGTTCATTACAACGAATTTGGAATTTATTCTAGATCGGCACTTAAATGACGATAGCGAGTAGAAGCAAGTCTGTAGTACTGAGCACTAGTCAAAGATCTGTTTATGGTGACTATGTGAAGCACGATTACGAACCAACGCTATCTAGATCTTCATTGAATTCGAAGCGTAGTTCAAAATGTTTCGACTGACTAATATCGAAGAGTAAAATAATAATGATTTTGTTATAAAATGTGTGCTATTCATAAAATACTCAAATGGTACAAGTCACCATACGGGCCTTAGGGTCACAATTTCTGGTATTGCAAATGAAATACGTTAATAGATCTTGTGCCAAACTCTTCTAAATTTTCCAGGTGCTGTCCCTTTTCGCGAACTTCACTTGGTCCGATGAGTTGACCGCGGAACAAGCCTCAATAGTGTCTCATTGGAGGACACCCGAAGTTGAATATTGGGGGTGCCTCATCATCTTCTTCTTTTCCATTGTGAGTTTTTTTGTTGTTTTGCTGGTGAAGAGATAAAAGCATCATACTGGTTAAAGACGTTGGCGAGACTTTCAATAGGGCGTCACGCTTTATAGCCCAGGGGTAGATGAGACAAACGTCTGGACTTAAGAGAGGTCGATATCTCTATTTCATTGTAAATTAAGTGAAGGTATAACATAGGCTAGTATTTAAGATCCAGTTAGTGCTTTTTCGAATGAACTATTAAGGAATCGGATGCAATAACAATGATAGATCTATTCATTATTAAACTTAACGCATTAAAATTAGTAGGCTTATAAAAAACCATATCGGTCATTAGGGTTTTTCCTTCTAATTTGGTCAATTGATAAGTAATCAAGGAAACACAAAATATATTTTTTTTATCACTCTCTTTGCACCAATTTGTAACCATATTAGTGTATTACTTTGCATCTGTTTTTTGATTCTCCCTCCATAGTATTAACACTTGTCCTATTTATTATTTATTTCAATGCTTAGTCTCTCTTTGCTAGTAAAAAAATATATTTCTACATATTTATGTTTTGTTTTGCTAATAATATTCAAGTTAAAATATATCATAATTGCAGTTGGGTAAATAAACTTTCTTTTTACTTGAAAAAATAGGTAATTTTTGAATGATGTTACAACAAGACGAGGTGGCCGAGTGGTTAAGGCGTTGGACTGCTAATCCAATGTGCTCTGCACGCGTGGGTTCGAATCCCATCCTCGTCGGATGTTTTTGTTTGTTCAAATACATATAATAATCACATTAATTAACAATTACAGATATTATTAATTTAAAAAAAATACCTGTAGTTGTTATAGTCTATACTAATATTATAAAGAGGAAAGATTTGTTTGTTTGTTTGTTTCGAATAGGCTCCGAAACTACTGGACCGATTTGAAAATTTCTTTTTCCATTAGAAGCCGACATTGTCCCTGATGAACATAAGCTACTTTTTTTAAATTTTTTTTTATTTTTTTTTTGGTTTCATGTGTGTTTTAATGTTTCCGAAGCGAAGCGAGGGCGGGTCGCTAGTACAAAATAAAAACAATGAAAATAATGAAAATGAAGTGGCTTATTTTTGTTATGATTATACGCCGTGAAATGATAATTAAGAAAATCCTAGATTGTGCCGTTATATTGTGAACTCAGATATTAAGAAACCGATTTCTGCTGCAGCAAATACATCCTTGACACGTGCGCATACGGTTCATCATGTGTTGGCATCGCACCACTTATCTTGTATACCATATACAGTCAAACCTGGGTAAACGAGAGTTCAAGGGAGCACAATCTCATTCTCGCTTATAGAGGTTTCTCACTAACCCGAGTTTCTCGCTAATGCTCCCTCTGAATTTCATTTCGCGATTTTCCGGATTCAAACGCATTCACTATTTTAAGTTTATCACTTAATGACACTACTTTAATTTACCGTTTTGACATGATGCAGAACAGAACTTTCCTTCGCAATTGATTAACGATAAATTGAGTAAGTTCAACAAACAGGACGGTACACAGGCACATGTGTCCATTCGAAAAGAATGCGATAAAATAACAACGTTATTTAGTTCCACGAAATAGAATAGGTTCAATATTGACGAGAAAACCATACAAAAACAATGAAAGGAAGTTCCAAAAGTTAAGAATGAGTCATAAAATAGCAGATGTTAAATTTGTAATTTGTTTTTTTATTTGTTCCTCGTAAATAATATAAATAAATAAAGCTCGACTGTCGCTTACAGAGGTATAGATAAGTAGCAGTCTCACTTCCGGAGGTCCACGAGGGAAAAACGACTCTCTCTTACAGAGGTTTCTGTTTCTCGCTAATAGAGGTTTTGGGAGCTTAAAATGACGGGTTATACGGCTATTACTCTCACTTATAGAGTTTTCTCACTTATCCAGTTCTCACTTACCCAGGTTTGACTGTATATCA